GATTGTACACCAAGCACATCTCATAGAAAAATGAATGGAAAAAAAGGGAGAAAGAATGGGCTCAAACATGCTCGTGAAAAGGCCGTAACGGTCGGATAATTTAAACGGCCAATAGTTTCAAATTCAAAAGACAAAACGTGTCAAATATGAAATACCTATTCAGCACATTGGCACGCTCCCTACTGCAAAAAGAAGCCATTTCCTTTTGATTTTGGAAAACCTGAAAATTTTCCTACTCACGAGCACCAAAATTCATGGAGAACGTTCAAATCAATCCGTTTGGGCAAAACCTAGAAACCCAAATCCCAGATCCACGTGTTTCTTCCAGCAATTTTTACTGGGAAGGAGAGAAAATCTTGAAACAAGAAAGTGAAATTTCGGCCATGGAAGAAGATGAAAGTTCAGAGTCTTTAGCTGATTCAATGGTCTGCGATTCTGGTTCGAGATTAGTCACGAATGGATTCCTAAAACCTAATTGTTCAGGTTGGCTTTTTATGATGTTTATACCTACGATCACTCTAAATCAAGATTAGGGTTTTTAGATACGAGTAAATTAAACAATTGATGTCATTCTCTGAGATAATGGAAATTCACAAGTTAAGTTAGGTTGCTGAATTTTGTCGTCAATTTTTGGTCGACAAGTTTGTTGCTTAGCTAAACGAGAAAAAGTAGATGGAAATCTTTGAAAATTTTCCGTTATTTTTTAATGCTTTTAAGCATACTAAAGTTCCTTTTATGCTGGTTTCAATATGTTTAATGAAGGTATAAAATGTTTGGAGTTTTAAATACTGAGTATCCTGATCTGAATCCATTGCAGAATTAGAGGAAATTGTGCTTTTTGTTAATGCTGGTGCCAAGGACTCAATTGAACCAGATTCCAGTATAAGCTTTCTGGGTGACAAATTATTTGAAGGGGGAGATACATTTCAAACTGAGGAGTTAATCAGTAGTGCTGGTGACTATCCGTTCATATATCAATCGGCAAGATTGGGAGACTTCATTTACCACATTGATGGTCTTCCCCCTGGAGATTTCTTTTTGGATCTTCATTTTGTTGAATTAATAAATATATATGGGCCCAAAGGAAGATGAAATAGCAAGTTGGCTGATTATTACTTCAATTACTTTGTTATTTGTAATCCTAAAGTATTCGTGACTATAGCTTATAAATTGGGGTTATCTTCAATGCAGATTGTATCTGATTTTGATATCTTCTCAATTGTTGGTTCCAATAAACCTTTGCAATTAGTTGATGCTAGAATTACCTATAAAAAAAAATTAGTTGATGCTAAAATCTCTATTAAGGATGATGGGCTGCCACTACAACAAAAATAGCTTTTTACGGCATACGTTTACGGCGTGCAATTGACGCGTGCCGTAAAAAGTCTCTTTTTACGGCGTGCAAAAAATGCGCGCCGTAAAAGATCAACTGCATAAAGTATTTACGGCGTGCAGTTTATGCACGCCGTAAAAAGAGACAAT